TGCAGTCTTCAGAATAGGCTGCAAAACCAGTCATTTTCTGTGTGCTTCCAGGCTTTGTTCCGAAGACACACACCCCCACACACTCACTGAGCAATTACTCCCTTGGGCTACAGGTCAGGAAGCATTTCAGGGGTTAACAGCCATGTACAGGTCAGGAGCAGCTTTACAGCTGCTTTATTTTACTTGCCATGTTTATTACAGCAGTGAAGCAGAGCAGGCACTTGAAGTCAGCTGTCTGTGCTGACCTTGTGCATCCTTCCTGCAAGGCTGGAAATAGAAGTTCCTCAAACCCGTCCCTTCCTGAGCACTCTTATCTGCGTTCCTGGTGGCCCAGGATCATGCCCAGGCAACCCTCCCCTCAGTGGTACAGAACTGGTTTGGTGCTGCAGTGAGAGGACAACTCTACAGCATTTTGCTTCCTTTCTTATTTCAGCAAAAGACTGACATGATGGGGCACCCCTGGCACTCGTAGCTATTCTAACATTGTTCCATGGGTGCCAGTGGCCAGCTTTGGCACAACTCAGTGTGTGACCCTTCAAGTCAAATGCACTTCCAGACTGGTCCCAGGTTGCCCAAGAACATAAAAAGGATATAATGTGAAGAAAATATTGCATTTATCTTTTTCTTTAAACCCTCTACAGGATGAAGTTGCATAGCTTTCTTGTCCTGGATTTGGTATGTCCAGCAAGGTTGACTATTTTCATTAAAAGAATCAAAATATGCTTAATGAAAGATGCTGGTGACTAACTTTTACCTCAACATGCTACACATCTGGGCATCCACAACAATGTGATTGGCATACAGCTTTTTCTTTTTACATTTAATGAGAGAAGGTGGAAAGATGTTTCAAATTCAAATCTGGAGAATTTATTCTTTATCTTTCTTTAACAAAGTTGACAGTTACAAGGAAACCTAGAAGTCAATAGCCTACAGACACGTTAGGCTAAATCCAGACAATGCTGATGAATTTATTTTGGGAAGAAGGGAAGCATTGTTTTTCAACAGGATTTTTGCAGAACAGTTCTGCCACTGTTGCTCAGCTTGACTAGTGTTTGTGTTTCCCCAATAACTCCACCCAGGGTTTAAACATGTGAGAATGTGTTTAATTTCATGAAATTGAACACCTACGCCCAGCCGTGGAAGAGAGCCTTCAAAATTACTGTTTACTGGTTTGGGTGCTTGAAGAAAGCAAGTCACCAGCCCCATGACTTGGAGTCACCTCATGTGAGGCAAGGCAGTTAGCTCTGCTTGCCTGCTGAAGACGGGCACTACTGGGCAGAGCTATCAGACCCGTAGGCCAGTTTTTGTCACCCTAGCCTCCATCCAGGCAATCAGGGCTTCCACATTCAAGACAGAAGTCCAGTACTAGCCCAGAATCCTTTTGTCTAACATAAAATTCACTAACCACACTTTGGCCAGCTGTCCCTCTTCAGAAGAGGGTATGGTGTGGGAAAACCATCCTGATCTCTTGGTTCCTCCATGTGAGTCCTAAAAACTTGTACTGAAGCCCTCCGCTTGTCCTTTCCCATTTATAACCTTACAGCCTTTTCTTGCCTTGCCTGCTGTCATTTGTAGTAACTTTTTCATGCCAGGTGACGAGATTTGTACCTGCCCAGACTGCAGATGCTGAAGTCCTCCATCAGCCTTGAACCTCCTGAGCTCTGTTGCTGGGAGAGTCGCTCTTTGAGGAGACAGGTTCAGGTGCCCCTAGACAGAGAGTGCCCTGCTGGAAGTGCCCTTCTGAGCTGACTCACAAAACGCTGTTTGCAATTTGTTCATGTATCTCTGTGTGGGGGGATACAAACCCTGGAAGGCTGATATTTGCTGTCTGTTAATTCAAAGCCGCTTAAGCCAGTGAAACTCCACCTGCAACCAGGCCAATTTTAGCTTAATGCATTTCTGGAATATGTTCTACTCTACAACAATAATGTAGCCCTCCAGGAACAACATGGTGTCTTGTGGGTAACACTGTTCATTTGCCTGAATGTCATCTGCCACAGTCAATTTGGATCAGGTCTTGGATATCTCCATTGTAAAGTATGTTTGAGTGTTTCTGAAGAGTAACAGCACTTCAGCACTGCCTGAGAGCCCCTTCAAGAAAATAACTAATGCACCATTGCCAAACTTAACTTTTACTACACATATAACCAGTCAGAAGCTCTCCACTCCAGATACTGCTAGCCACTTACTGAAATTGGCATTCTGTATGCAGTGACAGGTTTTCAGTTTTTGCTTATGCTCGGATAAACAAAATAATTCCAGATAGTGCAGTATAGGAGCTAGGATAGCAAGTGTTTTCACATGCACTTGAGGCAAGTGAAAGGCATCTGAGACTGCTTAAAAACAGGAAACTGACCATCACCTTCCATTCGATGCAAGAAGCACAATTATTTCTAACATAGTTTTACAAAGAAAGCAATTCTGTCAGAGAGGCAATATAAGAAAAATTTCAAAAAACAGAATTTTAGATAAGCATGCGACAGCTGTAATTCAAAGATAATTTACAGATAGAATCCATCTGATCACATGTTAATGTTCTACTTAAGAAAGCAATGCCATTTTTATATAAATGCTTAACTTCTTAAAAATATCTGCAACTCTAGACCATCTTCTCTTGTACAGGAGTTATTCTAGCAAATGACCTCTCCTCAAATTCTCAGATTTCCTAGTACCGACTGAGTAAAAACTAGACCCAGAAAGTAGCTCAGAAATCCTCGGAATCACGACCTACCTATATTGCCATTTCCCTGAAGTGTAAACCAGTCTGTGTTATTTCTGCATTCCTTCCCCTTGTCCTTCCACTCACCAGACTCCACAGTGAAAACCTTATGCTGCAGGGTTAGATGAGCACTACCGCAAAGGGCAGGGGGGTGCGTGTGCATGTAAAATACTGTAGAACAATTTACTTGGGCTCCTGTGTATAAATACTTTTAGGCTGCATAAAACAGCACAAGGCATTAACAACTTGAAGACTCCCTGAGAATTAGGGAAAAACTGAGAATGAGCATGGCAATATGGGGACAGGACACTGGGGTCCAGTCTCTATTCTAAGGGTGGTTTATTCATTTAATCCAATGAGCATTCTGTGCTACAAAAACTGAGATTGAACCCTTCCCCTTAGAGATCCTTATTACCTGAGTTGCACTACAATGCATATGATAACCTAATAAAAAGCCACTGTTAAAAAGCAGTAACAGCCTTACTCTTTAAGGACTCCACTATTATATATTGAAGATAGATCAATAGAAAAAAAAGCCATTTTTATACTTAAAAACCTATATAAATATCTAATATCTATCTTAAATATCTATTTTTAGAAAAGAGTAGCTATCAGACACATTTACAGTGTTTATATCTAGTGAGCAGCATGATGACTTCTGCTTCTTCTGCCACGGAGAAGGTAACTGCTGGTTACTGTAGCAAGTATAGTCTATGAATAAGCCTGTATTCTGCAATTTTATTTTTCTGTGAAAAGGAAGATTATTTGTGTGGGTTTATCTCATCTGTTAGTTTCATAAAGTCGGTATGAAATCTGACAGGTCATCTCCATTCATCTTTCTTGGAAATAATGCTGTGACACTACTGACATGACTTTTTTTCAAGGAGCAACATAAACACAGTACTCTTCTTTGCAGGATTAATCTTTCTGAAAGCTGTCAGGATTTTTAGTACTGTGAAAACTGGTGATTTTGACCCATGTCATCTCTTTTCTTTTGCATGTTGGATTTGAGAGCAGCTTTCTCAACAAAGCAGACCAGTTCTCTTTCCTGTATTTTGCCTTCGCAGTTTGCAAGGCAGCCTGCTGCTGATAGAAGCAATCTCATGTATTTCAAAGACTTAGCAAATCTTTACACAGCACTATTTTTTTGTTTGGTTATCAAATGAATACAACAACAGCTGATTATAGAGATGCAAACGAGATCTCTTTTAAGCATGTTTTGTTATAAGACAAAGATTTCATGACGTGAAACCTTAAATCTCATCTTAAATCAAGGGACTATCACATGGGCACTCTGCTCTCATTTCTCCTTTTCCCAGATCTCATTTCCTCCCATGCACAACCACCAGAATGTCTCCCCTGTTCTCTATAGTTGCTTAATAACCAGTAGCAAAAAGCAATAAATAATTGGACAAAAAATAACCCTTCAAGCCAGTTTTGGGGTAGCTTTAAGCTGCCTTTCATGCAACAAAGGCTTTGGCCTTTTTGAGAATTTAATCATACGTTTAGATTTGCTCTGCATTTCATCACTAGTCTTCCTCCATCTGTTCTGCTACTATCAACTGGAAAGGAGGCAAGCCAGCACCACATAAGCCAGCACAGCTCCCAGGACCTGCCCCCAGAAAAAAGCCAGTATAGAACATTACACTTTGAGAAGTCACTAAAATTTTGTCCTATGTCACTTAATCCACCAAGACACTCTTGCAAATCTGGATCTGATTTTTTTTCAAAAATGCATTCATGTATATGCTAAACCTCTTTAGTTTACTTTTGCAAATGGTGTAATTAAAAAAAAATTATTTGGTCTTTGGATGACAAATAGAAACAAAAATATTGGAGTCTTTTCTATATCTTAGCTGGTGCTCGGTGCTGAGTGCTGTGAACAAAGCCTGCTGTAGAGACAGTTGCTCTACTTAATGGGAGTCAAGCATCTAAATAAAGACTTGAACTTTTATGCCTCAATTCCCAGATGTAAAATGAGGAAATGGTATCAGCATGAAGCTGGGGAAAGCACCAAGGAAAACACTGTACAAAAGGAAAGTACTGCAGCTTCTGACCCTGGTGCACTTTGAAAAAACGTAGCTCTGCAGCTCCAAGAAAGGCTTGTTTTCCCATATCGCCTAGAATATTCCCAAACAATTTAGACCATAGTCATCATAATGTAGTTGTCTGTTGGCCCCACTGCCTGGGGATTGACTCCAGCCCACTCAAGACTCCTAAGCCAGCCTCCCTTTCTCTGGACAATATGCTTGGGCAGCACACCTATCCCCATTTCTGCCCCATGCAGCAGGAGCCTTCCTATACTGTTCTCCCTGACTTCTCAGGTGAGCTGAGAGTCTTGTCCAGGATACACTGGGGAGAGAGTATGATGGGGAGGAAGAGAGGCAGTGGACAGAGGTTTCAGAAAAGACGGATTTTGAAGAAGATTTGGATCTAGTTCCCATGGCTGCCTGTATCAGACCACTCTCAGAAGAGGCACGATGCTTGGTTAAATGAAAGAGAGAACTTTAATGCAACAAATATACTGTGGTGGCATTCCAATTTAGACACAAGCTGAGAGCAACAGCACTGTATATTAAATAAGGCCTGCACAAATAAGACCTATAAAGTAGTATACACAGATTTCAGAGCAGCCCCACAGCCAGGGAATAATGCTATTTCAAGCGTATCCAGTGCCAGAGGCAGTCCAGCGAGACAGACTGTAAGCCCCAGGCTAGCTCTGCCTGCAATAATCTGCAGGGTTGAATCTGTGACAGATTGCAATGTAGTAACAGCGTTTATGCAACTACATCTTGTTCTAATCTATTAGTTTACATAACCTTTGCTCATGGACATACTGGCTCATAGGTCCCAGGAATCTAAAGAAAAATCTCTGTTTTTAACTCTCTCCCATTCTTCAAGCCCCAGTTGTCAAATGAACAAATAGATTGGGAAGAGATCTTGTTCGTTCTCTTTGAGAAAAAAAAGTACATTGGTAGGGAAAAAAAAGAGGTATCAATTAAAGACATAAACCGCAGTGTATTTCTCCATACATACAACCAAAGTTACATAATATGCTGGCTAATGGTAGGCAGTTCTCCTTCAGGTTAGCATTTCCAACCACTGAACGTACCATTTGAGCCCCGGGCTGGGAAAGGGATAGGAATTGTTTACTTAGCTCCTAGGAAAAAAAATATTGCTCCCAAAAACAAACATCAAATTTTGCTCTTGGTTAAAAGTTTGCATCTAATAAGACTGTACCAATGATGGTTATACTACATATGGTGCAACTGCTGTGCTATATATATGTATATATATATATATGATTTTGTGCTTTCCTGCACTTCACACAAATCTTAAGATGCATTCCTGTCTACAAGTTCATCTGCCTGCTCAGCAATTCCTCCCCATTTGTCTTAGAGTACTTATGCCTTACTTACATTATGTCTTGCCTAAATCCATTATCTGGCCCAGAGAGAGTGAGAGTTAGGAAATATTGCCTAAAATAAAAACAAGTCTTGTCTTAGAGCAACATTTGTTGTTAATCACTACAGCTGTATGAAGAGTTTATTTTGCACATGTACATAAGTAGTCTTGCAAGGCCTTGTCAAAGTTACAAAGTTAGATTCCTATTACAAAGGCTAGGTGGTGTAAAAAAAATAACAAAAACCCAGATGTTGCTCCCAAAAAGCTTTAAGGCCATGCAAGCCAAAGCTTTGCAAGTAATTTTCTCTGCAGAAATCTCTACAGGCCTTGTACACATCATCTGTGAACTTGGATCTTCTTAATAAAAATAATTTTAAAGGAATATTTTCTACTTTTTTTTTCTTAAACCAGCAACAGCTGCTAACTTTCTTAATGCAATTTACACCAGCAAAAAAACCCTCGACAACCATGAGAACATGTTCCAGTAAAAGCAGACTTGGTATTTCTGAAATTCCTATTGTAAAACACACGAGGAAAAGACAATTTTCTGCATTCTACTTCATACAGGAAAAAAAAAAATCAGCTTTAAGAGAACTTTTTGGTTTGCTCTATTGATTCACACCAAAGGGCAGCTTTGGACAGGAGGTGGTGCTATAGCTTGCACAAATTTTATTATTAGGGGCTCTAAAACAAGCAGCTACAGTTAATTCTTCCTTTTCTTTGAAAGATCAATTCTAAAGGAAAAGAAAGGGGAAAAGTGAGAGAGCTGTCTGAGGAATTAAGATCTGATGTCCATCACTGGGCTTTAGGCATTACACAAATAAAATCAATTGCAAAACAGTGGGTATTTATCTTTTCTACCTATGCAACTCCACAGAATTTTTACAGCATTGGGAGATAAGAACAGTAAACTTATTACTGTTACCAAATTTGGTTTCCATATTTAAACCAGAAGAGTCAGTAGCTGTTGTTCTTTTGGGCAGATCCAGAAGCGTTCCATTTATCATTCCAACAACACTGCATGGGTGAGACTGGATTAACCCGACAAACAAAGAACATGTTCAGGAAGACAGTGACCCCTACATGATTCCTCGGTCTGGGCCACGGTCATAATTTCATTCTTTGGGTATGGCATTGCAAAAACAGGACTTTAGAGCTACTCTTTTAAAGGGTAACTTTATTATTACAAAGCATGTTTATTGGGTGCATACCAGACAGCGTTACACAGTATAAGCCCTAAACACTGTATCTATGTATATATATTTTTTAATATATACAGGAATTGGGCGAGAATGTAGCTATTCTGGTCCCACTGCTGTGGGACCCTGCACGTAGGGCAGACAAAGCAATCTCCTGTGTTTTGTAAAGGCACAACATGAGTGTAACTCGGGAAGTGTCTGACTGTTGTCCCCAAAACCAGCAGAGTGCCCAGCTGCAAACTGCAGCAATGAGTACCTAAAACTATCAAGGTACAATTAAAGGAATAAGAGAAAAAAAGTGGTGCAGCCTACAACTACTTCAAATTTGATGGAAAAGTAATTAAAATACCAAGTTTATGCAAAAATTGATTGTTACTAAAGAGACTGTGATTTCCCCTAATACAGCAGTGGTTATAAAAATGCATGCTACATTCTTGAAACTAATTTGAAGGTGTTTGTTTTTTATTTCATGAAGCTGGAGCTTATATTGTAGGGGCCATTAACTCAGAGTTGTACACGTTTCCTGAAAACAAAAGTGAGATGAATTTTCCTGAAGGCAACGGCCGCCTCTGTTTTTCTGTAGAATATGAGCAGGAGTCAGAAAGGCTCCTCATCTCCTTGATCAAAGTCAGAAAGTTGCAGCCTCCTGCTGATTCCTGTAGTCCGTTTGTGAAAATATACTTGCTGCCTGACGAAAGAAGCTACTTGGAGTCTAAAACAAAACACAAAACCCATAACCCACTGTTTGATTAAAACTTTGTTTTTCAGGTACTTTTACTTTTGATGAAGCAGATTTTTGTTTGCAAATATTGACTTGTCAAAGCACAGTACATATTTTGTGAAAATTAGCTTTTTACAAACTGCTGCTATGATATAAGGTGTTTAAACTGAAGATAGGATTTATTACTGGGGCTTCTGGAGATCCTGGGCTGCTAAAGTGTGGCTCCAGAACTGGTCTTACTTGTGGTCTGCACCAAAGCTAAGGATTCCAGAACGTGCCCTGAGAATGATGAAAACTCCAGTTTGAACTATGACTGAGCAGTTTAGCCCAGCAGCTCTAGAAGTCCAGAAGCAATCAATACTGAACTCAGGCTTTCATGGCTTTTAGTTTCTTTGCTAGGGAAGTAGTCTAGAAACTAGAACTCATGAGATGTCTGTAGACTACTCGTATAGCGCTCTATGCCAAGAGGCTTTCAGCAGGTGTCACAAGACAAAAGCTTTAAAATAAAAAAAAAATTGTCTTTCAGACAACCGTAACATGAATGTTTACAGATTTCTGAACAGTCATGTCTGGAAGTGAATGCATCATATAACACTACATCTGTATGAGCTGAAAAACTGGCAGGTAATTTCACATTTTTCAAATGAACTCATTCTGTTTTAGCTTCGATCTTTAGACTTCTGCATAGCTAAAATTTCAGGCAAATTAGGAAAGCGGACTTCAAATAATCAAAGGGAATCTCCACCTACCTTTAACACACTTTGAAAAATTCTTCCTTTGAAGTCATGCTAATGTAGAAAAGTGTCAGATGTTTTGCAGCTATTAATATATTCTTCCTTTTCCTGTACAGGTTTCCAGTAAAATGTTGCTCCAAAGGACTCTAAAGTTTTTGGTTTATCATGTTGAAAAACAGAAGAAGCATCACCTCCTAGGCCAAGTTATCTTCCCACTGAAAAATGAAACATTAACTAATGACAACAAACTAGTCATATGGAGAGATCTGGAGAAAGAAAACTTAAAGGTATGTGACACCAGGCTGCTTGGAATTAGAATCATGGAATCATAGAATCATTAAGGTTGGGAAAGACCTCAAGGATCATCAAGTCCAACCCAACACCACCTAACTCACTAAACCATGTCCCTAAGCACCACATCTACACGTTTCTTGAACACCTCCAGGGATGGTGACTCCACCACTTCCCTGGGCAGCCTGTTCCAATGCCTGATCACTCTTTCAGTGAAGAAATTTTTCCTAATATCCAGCCTAAACCTTCCCTGGTGTAACTTGAGGCCATTTCCTCTTGTCCTATCACTTGTTACTTTAGAGAAGAGGCCAGCACCCACCTCACCACAACCTCCTTTCAGGTAGTTGTAGAGAGTGATAAGGTCTCCTCTCAGCCTCCTCTTCTCTAGACTAAACAACCCCAGCTCCCTCAGCTGCTCCTCGTAAGACCTGTGCTCCAGACCCTTCACCAGCTTCATTGCCCTTCTCTGGACTTGCTCCAGCACCTCAATGTCCTTCTTGTGGTGAGGGGCCCAAAACTGAACACAGAATTCAAGGTGTGGCCTCACCAGTGCCGAGTACAGAATTGTGGAATTTCTGTAATCTTACAGGTATTGGAGGGGTACAGCTGAAGTAGAAGTATGTCGTATCAAATACATCAAATGCAAAAGTGTTTGGTAAACATTTGGAATAAAAATTCCCATCTTACCAACCTGCAGATCCATAACTGCTATATAGGGATTATCCAACTGCTCAGGAACAGTCACACTGAGTTGGGAGACAGGTACATAAGGAAGCACCTTTTGATATTTGCTTCTGTTTTGAAATAGCAAGAAGAGAAACAAGCACAAAAGGCAAAGAAATAGGCATCACCTGGAAGAGAGAGTAATTCAAAGATTGAGGAAGGCTGATTAATTGTTTCTATCAAATGTCACAACAGCCATTACAATTCACTCACATGCTTTAGTGTGGCAGAAACCACTAGTATGAACAATTCCCCCACCACCACCTTTGTCTGTGTGAAGAGGGAGTTTATCTGATATACTTGACAAGTATTGTTCTGCTTCCAAAGCCTTCTTCAGATTATGGTGATATCCAGTTCTCCCTCAGCTACAATGACTACTTGGGCCATCTCACTGTAGTGGTTCTGAGAACAAGGGGATTAAAGCTCCAGGAGGAGAGCCATGCTGTCACTAAGTGTGTTTTTCTCTCTGCTATCAGCTCCAGAATTCCTGTTTTAATTTTCTCCTTCCTCATCTGTTCACCCAGGCTCGTGCTGAGTGACTCTGAAAAGAACAAATAAACATCCAGGTGATTTAATTTGTGTGAAAGCAAGTCATACTTTGTTAATGGGGTAATTAGATTTTGATAGCTCAATTCTGCTATGTTTTGGTTTTGTTTCATAATAAATGGTTTGTCTTGTGGCATCCGTAGCAATGTTTTTTCTCCTGCTTTAATACAGTGCGCAACATCCTTTTGCTACACTGCAATCCAAACAAGGTAGCATTTCAAGAGATACTGACTTTAACAGAGTTGCCTCAAGGCAAACAACCAGAGGTAACAGCTGCAGGACAACTGCTTATGCTGAACAGCTGTCCAGTGGAGAACTGAACTGGGAAAAAATTTCCGATTTTAAGACAGCGTGGCTGTTGTTCAAAGGACCAGCGCACGGAGTCAATTTTTCTCCTTTACTCCAGCAGGAGTTTTTCTTGGTACATCCTTGGCCTCAGAGACGTTGAGTGTAAAGATTACCTTAAAATGCTGTTTAAAGTCTAAACACTCAAAGCCAAAATAGAAGAACCAAACTTGTGTTTGAATCTGTAGTGATTTTTTTGAAGGACTTGGAAACTAAACAATATCCAACACAAATACACACAGCAGTTAAAAGAAAAGAGGCTTAGTTCTCTGTATACGCACATCAACCATGAAGTTTTTTGAGGTTTCAAGTGGGCTGTTGCCAGGATGTTTAACTTTAGAAACAATGCCCTCTGAATCTACATTCATAATGTTAGAGATAAATTTGCTGTTTAGGGTAAAACTCAAATGAAGAAATGCACAGTAAAATTATGAGAGTATAGAGGTTTCCAACAAGCGGAATCATACCCTGTGTGCTTGTTGAAAGAGAAATCTGCTACAGAATGTACTAGTTTTAGAAAACAAATAACTAAGATAAGGATGGCCAGAAAAAATACGACTAGTTTGTAGCAGTTGAACAAAGCAGCATCATGAACCAAGAGCAAATGTTCTAATTTTGCATTGTCTCATTAGCTTTACAAGAGAGGGAGAACAACACACTTCTTAATATATCATGTCTCTGCCTCCAGGTTGTTGTAAAGTTCTGTAGCACAGAGAGAGAACTCTGTGTTTCTTTCTACAAATCTAACATTAATCTGCTGTGTTATTTTAGTGCTGGTATACTTGAAGTTATCATAAAAAGCAAGAGTCAAGGGCACACTCTGGAAGGAAAAGCTGCCAGAAAGCAATTCTCCAAAAGATACTAAGAAAAAAAAAATATTAAATAAATTGGATGTTATTTCCTTTGATAATGACCATGAAGTATGATTTAAGGTCCATGGATTCCCTGGCGAATTCTGAAAAAAATGGAATAAAAAGGTTTCTATATTAACAGGGATCAGTGCATTGCTAATCTTTAATGGAAGATATGCAGTATAGGAATAGTAAAGAGATATTTATTTTTAGATTCAAATTACTGAATTAAATGTATGAAGAAGTGATAAGATTTTTCCCAACTGCCTCTGATGTATTTTCTTCTTTAATTTCTTTTTCTACAAGGTGTGTATGTCAAAGTCTCACTAATGAACCATGATAAAATAATCAAAAGTAAAAAGACAGCAGCTGCTCTAGGATCTCCCAATCCAGTGGCAAACCTTCAGTTTCAAGGCAGATCAGACAGAGCTGGATACAGCAAGCCCGTCTGTCTGTGTTGCAGAGTATCACAGGAGAAAGAAAGCTACATGAATTCTTACAGTTAAGATGTCATAAATCTCTTACATATTCGACATGGTTTTACCCCTGGCTAGCAAAACAGCACAACAACTGCTCAGTCACCCTCCTCTCTCATGGGGATGTGGGAGAGAATTAAAGGGTTAAAGGGAAAAGAGACTTGTGGGTTGAGATAAGAACAATTTAATAACTAAACTACAATAAAATTAATAATAATAATAATAGTTACAAATAATCAAATGAGTGATACACAGTACAACTGCTCACCAGCTGATGACCAAGGCTCAGCCTGTTCCCAGCTAACAGCCCCAGAGCAGTGAGAGTCCCAAAACCACCATCCCAGAAAGGAAGTAAGAGCCCCAGCATTTGAGACAGAGAGCTGACAGAGAGACCGACATGACCCTGAGAAAGGGGCGACACACAGGGAGACAACTCGGCACGAGAGAGAGAGAACTTCTGGACAGATCCTCATCTATATACTGGACATGACATGCATGATATGGAATATACTATTGGCCAATTTGGGTCTCAATCCTAAACCCAAGGTTGAATCCTAGGCTACTAGTTGGGCTGTGCTCCCTCCCAGCTTCTCCTGCCCCTGCAGACACTGGCACGGCAGAGAAGCCGAAAAGTCCTTGACTGTCCTGGCATCAGAATGTTATCAGCCTTCTCCTCAGCACAAATCCAAAACATAGCCTCTTACTAGCTACTATGAAGGAAGCTGACTCCATCCCAGACAAAACAAGGAGAATATTGCAGAGATATTTAAACCTGGGAGGAACTAATTCTTTTTCAGCAATAATCATAAAACATATAAATAAACAGGTTTAGAGTATTTTCACATGCTGTTTCTTTGAAAAGCGGAACAACTTATTTACAGTAAATGTATGTCTCTCTTTCAGAGGGTAAAGATTAAATTTAATGTAAGACATGAATAAAATAACTATGGGCTAGTCACTGTCAGTACAAGGTGCTGTACTTTTGTTTCATTCTGGTATACTAAGAAAACAAGCTTATGCAATTACATTTTGTGAACACTTGTATATATAATCCCCAACCTCCAAAATTTTGAAGACATTCACTGTTCCTAACCAAATTGGAAAAGAGGAAAAGGAATTGTAATTATCACAGCAGTTCAAGCAGTGAGAAAGAAAAAAGATTACAAACATCCCCATTCTCTGTCAGAAAACCTGACACTTGTGGTCACCTTTTACCAATCGTCAGAGAATCTATTAAGGAGTTCTGCTGACAGAAGCAAATCAGATTCAGTATTTCTGTTGCTCACAAGAAAAACATCTGCCCTGTAATACAAATATGATCTCAATAATGAAACATTAATACCTCATTTGGATTCACACTATACTCCTAAAAAATTCCTTTAGGCAAGATTTGGGGCACGTGCTCTGGCTTTGAGGATTGACAAGAACTAGGATCAGTACTTGAGTCATCATTTTTACTTGCTGACATCCACATGCTTTACAAACATTTTGAAGTTCATGTAAGGCAGGTTCAAATTATTTTCACTATCCACAGCTGAAAAGTTCAGGCACAAAGAAGCAAGCTGCTCACTGGAAGAGGGTGGTCAGTGTCAATCCACATATTGAGACTTATAGCAGTCTCAGGAACTGAACCTATTCTTTCCCAAGCTAGAGCATCACATGAATCCTACTAAGGTTGCTGATGCTCAAAACTAGGGCACACTGCCACAGTACACTTGAGGTAAAGGGGCCAGGCAGATACAGATCTATGTGCCTTAAACTGATTCTAGTTTAGAGTGCAAGCAATGGGGTAGGTCTGAATTGATTAAATACTCACCTACTGCAGTATTTAATGCTGCATCTTAGCATGTAGAAACTATGGAATTTGAAATCTAGAGTGAATTCCTTTTTGGTTTAAAAATAACTTTCAATGCATGCATTACTTAGAGAAATACAAGTTAATATTCTAATTTAGGTAAGGATTTCAGAGAAGCACTCACAGGTGTTAATCACTAACTGGTTTCGTTTTTTCCCAGGAACACATCTGCTAGGACATGTAGCAGTTGGGCCTTTCATGTACACTCGCGGCAAAGAACTAGAACACTGGAATGAAATGGTCACCAAGCCCAACGAGTTGGTGAAATGATGGCATGCTCTCTTCCATAGCATGTAAACAGAAAGGACAAAAATGGAAAAGCTCTCACTGTCTTTCATAATCTAGTGATAAAAGGTACAAAATCTTTTGACCATTTTAAACCCCTAAGAAAGACAAAAATAAAATAAGAAAATTCATTCTTTGCCCAAATGCAAAGAGAAGACTTGGTCCCTGGTAGGCTGGAACTCTTATCTTTCCTCTCTTCAAAATATATTTCCAATTTAAGTAATATGCAGCAGAGTAAACAAAACAGGAAGACAAACATGATCTCCCCGTATTAGTTATTTTGACTAGTAAATTCCAATTTTTAGTCATGAGTTCTGGGCACACATGATCATCCACCATGTTGATGGAACCCAAAATGACTTCAGACCTGTCAGTGATAATGCCAGGCCTAACTGTCCAACGCACTGCATCATCAGGGTCAAAGTAGCTTCACCAAAAGGGATGGAAGGCCAGTAAGCATGCCAAAACAAACAAAGCCCAAAAGATGTTGACTACTACTACATTTACAATTTATTTAAAATAGTAACATTTTACTTAAAACCTCTTTTGAATATGAATAGTGGAAAGCAGAGCACTTATTGATCAAAAACCTAGAAGCAACTGTCCACATCCAGCAGCGCAGTGTATTTCTTGCCACAATTCAGTTAGACGTTTTCAGCTGACCCCAATGCACAACACTTTGTGTTGACACTAAAGGAAAAACATAAAAAGTCCTGAAGTCACAAATGACTGGAGGCTTGCAGAAGTACTGAAGCACTCTGAGAAAGTAATACAAGGGATCTGTCCTATTTCTCTGTAAATGTGTCTCTGCTGGAGACAGAGTATTGATTACAAGAACCCTAGGTTTGACCTAGTGTGACCATTCTTACATGGAAAATCCAATTAGCTTAAGCCCCCAAGACATGTCTAGCTTAGTGGTAAGAGTTTTCTTCGTTAAGTAAATTACTGTTCCGTAAAATAATTCAAAGCAATTATTTTTAATCAAAATAAAGTAAATAGGACATTATTCTCTTCTTGATTGTTCACTGGGGACCTGAACCCTGTACCTTTCATGCTGTACAGTCAAAAACCAGACACAGATTATTGCAGCTAAACATTTTGTACAATTATGTTCTAAGAGGACCATAATCTCTGTCGCTGAAGGGAAGCCAACTTCCTTTCAAACAGGATATGATATTAATTAATTCAATATATTAAAAAAATTAGGCTTCTGTGGGGAGATGAGAACACTTTCTATTTTGGTAATATTGTTATTATTTAAAGGAAATATTATGAATGAGAATACATCTGAGAGGAATTGTAAGATAGGACAAGAGGAAATGGCCTCATGTTGTGCCAGGGGAGGTTTAGGCTAGATATTAGAAAGAATTTCTTCACTGAAAGAGTGATCAGGCATTTGAACAGGCTGCCCAGGGAAGTGGTGGAGTCACCATCCCTGGAGGTGTTCAAGAAATGTGTAGATGGGGTGCTTAGGGACATGGTTTAGTGAGTTAGGTGGTGTGGGTTGACGGTTGGACTTGATGATCCTTGACGTATTTTCCAACCTTAATGGTTCTGTGATTCTGTAACAGACTCCACCTGATCTTCCATTTGAAATGCTACAGTCTGCCTTGCTAACTACACCACTGGATATAAGATGAGCATAGACTCATTACACTTAACTGAATTTTACAAAATGTTCAGTCCTCATTATATCTCTGTTAAATAAGCAGCACCTCCAACCCCAAAGAGCTGTTTTCAAATTTTACTCCTACAAAACCACTTGAAAACCAATCTAATAGGCAACATGTTCGATCAGGGAAAGAAAACTATACATAAACTCTATTATAACTATATTACTACAATTAAACAATTTCACCAAATAAATTACATCCCTCCTTATGATTTAAATCATACAAATGAGCATTAAAGATCTTAAAAGTAAATTGTTAAGAATGTTTCAGACAGCTTTAGCTGTCTAGCCTGTGCAGGAAGATGCACGTAATATGCAGTGTCTATTAACATAAATACCTCTAAAGAGGGAAGTCATGCCTCTGACTTGATGTACAGTACAGTCCAAGTAATAAACAATGCATTGCCCTAGTGTGGTCTCTTTTCATTGAACTTCTTACACATCAAACTACCAATACTTCCAGGGTATGTGTTCAATAATTCCAGCTAAAATAATGAATAAACATATTTGAATACACCACTGTGCTTGATTTTGGTCAAGGTCATCCAAGTGAGAAGGGTCCTTTTTGACTCTTCCTGAACAAGAAAGTTATTCAAGCAAAGCAAGAAACATTATTAAATAAGCAGTCATAATATAGTGTTATCAATTAGAACATAATAGAGCAATTATTTTTTTTCTACTGCCTTTTATGGATCATCCATCTGGTCTTGTGCTTGAGACTTATATTAAGATGAAGGAGGAAGAACAATTACAAGACTTCTCAGTGCCTAACAGTGCTTCTTTTCCTCTAAAAAAATTATTTTTTTACCAAGGTGTACAGCACAGAAACTCCCCATCCAAGAAATACACAAGAAATAGTTAAAAGATCATACAAAATGTGACACCTTCCTCAATACTTCCCATTATTATTGAAAAATACAGAAGTTCCTAAAGCTCAGCAATAAATCTAGCATGTAACTTAATGAAAGCACAAATCTGTCAAATGACAGTGAGCAGCAATTTACCACGATTTTAAACCAGACATGAATAATGGTTACATTCCATTCTAGAGACCAGGATCTTGGGGGGGGAAAAAACCCTACCACTACTTAAGCAGAGTATTTATTTACGTATACTCTCTTGTGGATCTTACCTTCTCTCCCAATTAAGATTATACCTGTACTAGTCTTTTAAGGAAGCCTAATAGTCACTGCTATCTGCACTACTCTATCCTTCCTCTAAGTGAGGAAATAAGAGACCAGACAGATTTATTTGATAATTGCTTGGTACCAATAGGACATTCTAAAAGCAGCAGCTTGGTGAAACTGAAAGGGAACAAGATGCATTACAGGTGATAAAGGATCAGAAAGCTCCTTCAGAAGAAATCTCTAGGTTCTGCTGCCTTGTTTACACAGAATTAGTAAAGTGAAGATAGGAACCAAAGAAACTACAGAATTATGGTAACAGCATTATGGTAAATTTATGAAAGTTAACATGGATCCATGGTGTCATGTTTGTAGGCTGGATTTCAAGAAGGAATACTGTTAAACACGAGCCAGAGTGGTGATCTGAAAAGTAAGAGAATGAGGCAGTCAGATCCAAGTCAGCTGCAGAGACCTAATCACAGTACACAAAACTTGGTGGTTAGCTAGATATAGCTCTCTAGTACAGATGGCGTGACTCCTGCCAAAAGTTATTAAATCATCCTAATGAGACCACATAGTGATAGGACATAAAACAATCTTTAGGATTTATCTAATGTAATTGACGTCTGGTTTTCAAGAGTCTTACTAAACTCAACATGCTCCTGGAACATTTTCACACATACAGGATCAGCACTGGTGCAATACCTCACTTAAATCCAAACACGGAAATTGCTCTTCTCTTCAACATACATTTCCCTGGCATTAAGAAATTAACATTCTAGAACCAGACACCAGTGAGTAAAGCATAGTTAGAATAAGATAAAAAAGGCACAGATGCTTAGGACTTTCCCCAAGGTGGTGGGTTAGGACAATGGTTTTGTCAGGTCACAAGGAAGTAAAATTCAGTTATTGCAAGTCTCTTGAATTCTCCTTTTACAAAGCTGTGATTTTCTGTATTATCTTTAGCACAATTTATTAACAGTAACAAAAGTAGGTTTTAATTCTTGATCATCAGATGATTAGATTAGTCTCTTCTGGGACTGGTTTCTCCCTTGCTCTAAGCTCAACATTGTTGAAATTATCACTCCTCTACAGAGATTCTGCAGTGTTTCTTTTGTAGAGGGGGCTACCTACTTTCTTCTGGAGCTTTTGTCCTGATTTTTGCACCTAATCTGCAGGCCAGTGGTGCTAGTGCTAGTGTTGAAGATAGTTTTTGGGGTCACTGTGCTGTCTTTCTTATACTAGTCTCATAGCTTGGCAGAGCAGGAAATTGATTTTGCTGGCATAAGATCAGCATTTCTATTCTTGTTGACACAACTGTGAGAGACTGGTTAAGAGACAGACAAAAATACTAGGGAATTATTTTAAGCCCTAGCCATCTTGTGATAAACCAGAAGACTAAGCTTGCTATGAGAAGTAGAGCTGCACAAACTTGTTTGATCAATAGGATCTGACCAGATTGATCAGTACAGAAGTAATTAAATATGGGAATGAGTGACCTTGTGAAACTTCAGCTGAGAATTAATTTCTTCAAAGTCATCCAATAATCTTTAGGATTCTCTCTTGCTGCCAGATTTATCAGAAACATTGTCATCTTCCCCTTTATTGGTCCACAAGAAAACACATAACTCACACGTAGCTCTAACCAACATCATTTAAAACCCAAGTCTGAAATTGGTTTCACATGAGATACAACAGAATCCAAACTAGCACCAAGAAACACATTTATTCAATTTTATAGTAGCCAGTCCCAAGAAACAGCACATTATACTTTCATTATAATACATTTGACGACTTGATTTATCAAATTCAGTCTTGAAAACAGTTCTGTGTTTGAAGCCTGAGCACCGTTGAAACAGTATGTAGAAACTGATTTCCTAAATGAGAAAAGTGCAGGTAAAGATCTGCAAGGATCTAGCCAGACAGCAAATACAATTCATACCCTACAGCTTCTACTGGCCTCTGTAAGAGGCACAATTTATATCAAATAAAAATATTTATCAGATAAAAATACTGATCTATGTATTTAATTGCTTTTGGAGAGCAAGTTATAAGACTTACTTTATGAAGTCACACAGTCATAATTTACTCAGTCTTTATTGACAAAAATTGCTATCAGGATACACCAAGACTTGAAAAAGAGAAATTAATTTCTGAATCTGATCAAGTTGGGAGAAAATTTTGCAGGCCAGTGCTAAATGATTTAATTGGCTTAA